CATAATCCTATACATATCTACAATCAAAACGGTATGTTTTTACTGGCTCTTTACAATCCCTTTGTTGTCAACATTGCAAAATAATTTCCAGTACCTAGCCCTGTTCCTTTTTATTAAAAACAGAAATAAAGGAAGCACAATAAAACTAAAAAATACATAGCAATGCAGTTTCATTTGTCCATTTTTCTTTATTTCACTACTGCCACAGGCTCACAGTTGGGTCAGCCAAAAAGAGTTTGGGAAAATTCTCTCAGGGGCTCCTTTTAGTATTCTGTAGATTGGCTAAATTACTGCTTTTAAATTGTTGCTTCTCTTTTGGTTTTGCGGCAGCTTTCTATCCAGAAAACAAAATATAAACTCACAGTTATTAGCTAAGTGTTTGACACATTCCCTCTTTTTGTTTCCTGCATCTACTCTTACAGAGGGATGTAGAAGACACTAATGTACAAAGAAACACATATTGTTTTTGTTATGCTATGATGTGATTTTTAAGATTCCCTTTCAACTCTATTAATAGCCTAAATTCAGAGAGAGCAGTAACATTCTGTACTGATTACAGTTTGTGGACCATCATCAATGGTAGACTTCTATAATTATGGCAGCCTTATGTTGTTATCTACCCTAGTGATTAAAGGTCTCAGGCTAAAAACTGGGAGAGTGGGACTTCTAGTTCCATTTAGGCACGAAGCCAGCTGGGCAACCTTGGGCCAGTCATTACCTCACAGTCCTAGGATGGAAGCAATGCTAAACCACTTTTGAAATTTTGTAAAGAAAACTTGTCCACACATTTGTCAGAAATTAGACTGATTTGAAGGCACCAAAACAAATAAGGAAAGGTCTATTTTCTTTACCTAACGTTCTAATTGCCATACAAAATTAATATTTGCCTTTTATTTTCTTTGAGAAAACCTGTAAGCAATTTTCCAGATATATCATGCAAGCTGCTTTGCAGTTTTGATTAAAATGCATCCGTTAACAATACTGCATTAAGTAGAGACTTGGCTTTAAATAAAAAAGTAGTCTACAACACAGAAACTTATTCTTGTCTCATCTTTAGATTTAAAAACATGGTTATGCAATTGTGGTTTATGTGGGATAAAAACAAACCAAGTACTGGTAAGGATTACAAGTACAGAAGAGGTTACAGCTTTCCAAAGGGTACTATAGGAAAGGTCAAATAATTTCCTGTGATTTACGTAGTTTTTTTTATTCACTTGACTAATTTGGCAAAAGCTAAGATACAATTCTTTCTGTTTCAATGAACATAATTCCTGAAAAGTGTGGTCAGCATTAAAGCTCTTGCTTTAAGAAATTATTTCATTCTGTTCGCTGTAACTGTGTACTGATTTCTCTTTGTATCGCATCTAAACTATATTGTCATGTAATGCTCAAAAAGTATTTAATTAAAATGTAAAACTGGACATATGTTTTCAGTAAAATACTACTGGGGAAAGATGCCATATCTACTATTCCTCAATCATAGAAATTATAAATTATACATATGCATACACTCACACAGACTTTTTTTATATTTATATTTGAATACATGATAGGCTTGAGAACAATATACCAACTTTGTCTGCCAGAAAGATTATTTTTTCCTACAATTTGTCTTTAAAATAGGAGATGTACTGATAATAGAATAAACAGGAAAGCTGCTGGAAATGCAGGATTATCTTTCTTTTGAGTAAATACGGTCCTTGCAGCGTACTCCTCTTAAATAGATGAATGCTGCATATTTACACAGAGAAGATACTTACTTCAAAGCAATGTTATTTGAGAAAACTAGCCTGCCTCAGTACTTCGATTGGAATTATGCTTCCTCTTTTGACAATTTTTCTGTTTGAAAGTATTCTAAGTAAAATCTCCCTAGTGGTGCTTGATTGGCAGCTACCTGGTCCTATCCATGCAATTTTCTGCATAACAGAAATCATTTCCTGCTGCATTCTTCCAGAATATTTTTTTTACTTCCCAGTGTAGTTTACAGCTACAAAGGAATTCTATTGTGATCTTCCAACCAAGTCCTAACCAGCCTCAGTCCAGTTTAACTTGCAAGCCCAAACAAGGATGGCTAGATGCTATTATTTTGCTTTGTAGAATATAAGTACTTACATTATAATACTTCAAGTGGATAATCTCCGTATTTGACATATTATGGAAAACTTTCATTAAAAATAATTTTATTTTGTTAAGCATAGATATGAGTTTTCATATACCTCCGCATTTGTCTATTTTTGGAAAAAGAAACTTGGGCTAAGATTCATAGAAAATAATGGTGAACTGTATTAAGTTATTCTAAGCAGCAAAACTTGTTAGAGCCATTGTCGGAAAAATATCCAAATGTTGGATAATGGAATGTTGATGGCCAGAAAACAATTTGTTTGTTAAAATAAACATGACTTTTAAAACTGCATAAAATGATGTTTTACTTCTAAATAATTTACTTTATAAATTTAAGTTGAGTATGAAATTTAGAAAGCTAATCTGGCTTTGAATCCTAAAGCCTAGATTATTTTATATAATTGCTTTCTAAGTTACTCAGTTTATAAAGAAAAGTTTAGAGCATATTTTTCTTTGGTGTCAATTTTATAGTATGTACAGAAATTTTTAAAGTTCTGTTTCAGAGTTGAAAAGAAATAAAAGCAGCTGTACATCAGAATGTGATCATTGCTTAGGTTAACAGTAACTGTAGTACATTTTCTATTTAAAATACAGAATGTGATTTGTTTAAGATGAAAAACATGAAAATTTTGATTTAAAAAATTACATTAAAGAACTAATAATATACAAACACTACCTCAGAATTTATCAGAAAAGATAAAAGACTGTTTTTCAGTTATTTATGAAAATATCTCTGCATGTGCATAAAGATTTCTCTTGTAGATAAATGCTCATAGATTTTTCTATAACTATTTATATAATGTGAAAACAAACCACTTACTTTGACAAATATACTCTTTTGATATATATATATATATATATATATATATATATATATATAT